TCACAAACTTCAATCGCTTATAATTCAATAAATAAGTTTCCAATATTTTTTACCGATTCTCGCGTTTGGTATCGATCTCTAAAATATAAGTTGGAAGAGGAAGAAGAAAACTTTATTTCGATCCTCGATGAAATTATCGATAACGCATCTACTTTTGGCCTACTGATATATAAGAACACGAGTAATATATTTTACATTCAAAAAGTATAAGTAAAGCCTCGCCCTTGTTTCCAAGGTTGCTTTTCTTTCCGCGATACCAGCGACTTCCTCTTGCAACCTGCCCTCTGGTGTCCTTATTTAGGCGACTTTTAAATCTCAAAGCGCAGGAGGATACGTCTCTCCATTGTCTCCCAAATTTCTCCTCGCGCATCTTTAGCTTTTAACGATTTCGCAGCTGTTATTCGAGCTGCTTTCGAGAGACAATCGCTTCGAAGGGAGTGAGGGAGCGCTCGCGATCGCTTTCCCAATTTTGGTCACGTAGGGAGTTGGACCCGGTCCAAATGCAATCCTTAATCTTCCGAGTTCTATCCATTAAACAAGTTAATTAACAAATTCGAACCTCCTCCTCCATAGATACCAATGCGAATTTAGGAAAATCGATTTATCAATGAAACGCGACGCGTTTAAGTAATTTTCGAGTAATTTTTGAGCGCGTTGTTACACGATAATTTTGTAATTTTAAATGAAGAAAAAAAGTTGCGATAAACAAGGGAAATTAATATTTTCAAAGTTATAAATAATTAGTCGTTTCCATTGAAGCGAGTGACCCGAGTCACATGCGAATGATGGATTATCTGTTTTTCACTCTTCTTGCGTGGGTCGATATCACCGGAGAAATGTTAAAAGTCGGTCTGCTAGAATTTATTTCGATCCTAGTTTACTTAATATTTTCAAATATAAATTAAAACGTTTCGAATTGATATACATCGAGTAGAGAATAATATGATTCTTAAAGACTTCGATATTAATCTTCCAATATTTAAACAATATTCGTAAATAAATAACACCAACGACCAATAATTTTTTCAATCTTCATTAACTCTCCCTTTTCAAGTTACAAGTTCCTAAAATCGTATCGAACAACCCCCCATTGATAAAATCGATAAAAACGAATCAAAATTTTAAAAAGAATTTTAAAAACTCGAGGACGAGGAAATTATCACCTTTCCCCAAGTATAGAAGAAGAAGAAGAAGAAAAAAAAAGAAAAACACTCGCGATGAAACGAGGCTCCCGTATCGATCCACCTATCCCTCCAGTCCAACAAACATTCGTCGGTCATCGTACAAATTTATAAAACATTCGCGTCGTCGTAGCCGACTGGCATGCGTAACGAACGGCCGCGAGTGCATTAGTCGGCGCAAAAATATGCAATTATACGGTGTCCAGTTTCGCCACGGTATTATTCATCGTCGGCCGCGTTCGATTCGTAATGCAAAGTAGTAGTAGCAGTAGTAGTAGTAGTAGCAGAGTGGTGGACGAGCAAGACGCGTATACACCGATGCAATTAGCCACGATAATTTATCGGGGTGTAACGATCGTGTAACGTCACGCTCGGGCGAGCCGATAAAAGTTAACTCGAAACGTTTCAAATTTCCTTTTATATTCGCGCGCCACCATCCTTCTTTCCGTTTCGACGCGTGTGAAATTTCGGGGAGGGGGCAGGCAAAATTGCGTTAACCGTCGCGATAAAATTTACGATTCGTTGAGTTTATCACTCCTCGTACCGAAATTTTCCTTTCTCGAGATCGAGCCTGATTTCAAAAAAATGTTCGCGTTCCGCTTAATTCGAATCGCGGGAAATAGAATTTCTCGTCGGACTCGCAACGATGATCGAGATAATGGGAGGATAAAGGGGGAGGAGGGAAAAGAACGAAACGAATGGGGGATGGAATGTTTCGAATGACAAACGTCGCGATATGATACGAGCAGCGTGACTCTCTCGAATTTAAAAAAAAAAAAAAAAATAATAAAAATACAGATACAGAAATTCGCGAGAGCGATGACAAAGGTTCGATTGAAAGAGATATTCGGTTCTATTTTTTTTTTTTTTTTTTTTTTTTCTACTTTTGGGATCGTTCCACGTCGATGCGGTGAATATTCGCGCTCTACCCATTTTTCGTCCGCCTAATGCTACCTCTATTCTCCTTTCCAACCATCCACTATGGCCTGATTATTTCCTATTCTCACATGGAACTCAAACGAGCTTCACTTTCTCATTATTTACGTATCGCACGACCGAAAATGAATAACTCGTATCTCTTCCTCTCTCTTGTCGTTTTTGAATAATAATGGGACTTGTTGTTGCTGATAATTGTTGACTCGCAATTCCTCGGATAATAAACGGTAAAATCGGATAATAAACGGAATGATGAACGAGAACAATAATAACATTTGAATTTACTTAATAAAGAATCCCATTTTATCAGAGATCGGTGCATGAATTTTATATTGCCAACAATTTAAAAATAGCAAAAAAATAGAAATGCCTAATCTTCCCCATTCCATTATCGCACGAATTGTCTTTTGAAAACTTAAACAAAACTTAAACTTAAACTTAACATATTCGAATTAAGAATGATCCTACGATATATTTTAAGTTTAATGAAATTTCTCCATTTCTCGCTCCAATTTCTTTTCCCTGCATAGCTGGGATTATTAAATTCTTTCCCCCTTTTTCGTATCTATGATTAAATATTTACCATTATATTCTTTTTCTCCTTTCACGAAAGAAATATCGATCATCGATTCGAGAAATCTTTCGATCGTTTCCACTGAAATCCACCGAGTCGCTCGTGGGAATTGGAGGGGCGCGAAAACGGAGAGGTGTTGATTAAAAGGATCCCAAATTAGATATTCTAAACTTGGCGATTCCTCCATTCTTTTAATTTCACTTTGTTACGCTCTCTTTCCGTTATTATTACTTTAAGTTGAGCGAGAAGGTGGAGAAAGTTTCTCAGGAGCGGAAACTTATTAATCGATACAGAGGCGCGGTGAATAAAAAGAAACAATGGTTAACTTTCATGAGTCGTTTTAACGAATTAATTTCATCGAGAAGGACAAAAGAAGAATGAACGACCTCTCTGCTACGTCTATTCGACGCGTGGAATTTCCTACGCCAAATACAATATTTATTAATTTATTTTAACATTTTATCTCTCGCGACGAGTAATTTCATCCTGCGTTTAATCGTTAAAGTTGCACATTTTTATGTAAATATTACAAAAATATCAAATAATTCTTCGAAATAAGACGAAGATTATGCTTCATGTATCAATGAATACGAATTGACATCTTTCTATCTATCTCGTTCAAACATCCTCCATATAAGAAACCAACGAGAATCACATTTAACGTGTCTCTTTAACGACGAAAATAAATTCTAAACAATAATCCGTTCAATTTATCAGGATCAGATCATTCGCATCGTATCTGATTCTCGCGGGTGGAGGACGAGATTAAATTCGTATCGACGAATGGAAAATTGGTTAAAACATTTTCCAAGAATAGAGAAAGTTATATAAAACCAGTGTCGATTGATCTCGCACGCGACGTTGAATCTTGATGGACTAATTCCTAAAATTGCAAAGCCGCGGAGTAATAGACGGAAGCGCGCATTTGCGAGATCGAGCGTGCGTTCCCGAGTCGCTCGATTTACCGCCTTTGCTCCTTCGTGTCTTCGTTTCCATCCACGGCGGTGCAAAGAAAGTAGCGGCACAAAGGGGGGTTCATATCGATACAAAGAGCACGAAAAAACCTCGTCCGCTTCTCTTTGCTTCCGCGCGATGATTTCCAATCATTTGGTTCCATTTTGGATCGTTAATGTTAACGCATATTAATCCTCGTCGTTCTTTCGACGATATTCCTTTCGAAAACTCCGTATTCGTAGTTTTTCTACGAACGAAATACCCTCTTTCTAACTTTCTAGTAGCGTATCGTCAAAATGAGTAAGGCAAAGAATGCTATCGAATAGAGTCAGTTTTGAATAAATCGTGGAGAGATATTCGAGAAGTGAAATTTAAAAGATGAAGAATTGACAATTCCGGGAACACTATACTTCCTCGATAATTATCCTAGAATCTTCCAACAAGTGGCGTTATTGTGTTTCGTAATTTATACACGGTCCCTCCAATTAGTACGAGCGCTATTATTATTTCCTTACAAACGTGATACGATATTATGGATGGGTAAACGGGTGAGAGGAGTAGAGAACCGGTTTCCCGAAAAGTGGCGGAGCGAGCCGCTCTAAATTCGATAACAACGCAAAGGTGGGCGAGCCGCTCTCGACGTAAATCTAAAAGATGATGTCACGTCCAAGTTTCGCGCTTAACGACATCATGTTTATGTTAATCCAACAAACGTATTTTTAATGAGGAAAGTCTCGAAGTTTGGATCGACGAAGGGAAGTGGTGGTACGAAAGAAAGGCCAACAGTTTTCTAACAGCCGCGCGGTTACGGTGCGCTCCCTATCATCGTTAGTCACGGTGAACCCGAGAACCGTTTAACACAGCGTTAAATACAGAAGGAGGAGGGGATGGAAAACAACTTTTCCACATCGGATTATCAACGTTGCGAGATGGAATACCCTTTTTCTTTTCTTTTCTTCCTCCTCTCGTTACGTCGACCCGTTATCGTTCGTCTCTTTTATCGCGGGAGTATTTTAAATTACGGTCTTCGTGTCAGCCGTAAAACTACAGTCTGCCAACAACGTTTTAGGAGCGCCAGAGCGGGGGTGGGTGCAGCTCTCTCCTTCGTCGGGTACCTCGTGTAATTTCGATGCGAAAAAAAGTTGCAACAAACTGTTCTACTACTAGTGAAGCAACCGCATCGCAAAGGAGGAGCAACGTATATCGAAGATACGTGAAAAAAAGAGAGAGAGACAAACAGTTCTCCTCTAATAATCTTTCGGGAATCGCGATAACCCTCGTGATCATCGGGTTCTCGTCTTCCCCCCCGCGCAAGAGAAGGGAAGGATAAAAAATTACCGATCGAACACACGTACCTTTGTGCGGTGTTAACGGCCAGGGATGTAACGGGGAGCCGGCAACCAGCCAGACACATGCCAGCAACACTCCGAACATTTTCACCCCCATCCACTTTGGACAAATGGAAACTTCCCTGCTTGTCCTTTCTCCTCCCCTCCTCCGCTTCTTCAACTTCCACGTTGCAGTAGTCCGTTGTTCTTCTCTTCTTCCACCTACTCCTCCTCCTTTGTCCCTTACTTTTCACCCTCTTCCTCTTCTCGTCCCACACGTGCACACTCTCTATTATCTTCTCTATGTTCTCTCTTCTCTGCTATGTATATATGTATATTTTCTCTCTCTCTCTCTCTCTCTCGTGTGTTTCGACTACCTTTCGACAGAAACCCTTTGCCAGAAACGATGAGCCGAACGGTTGGCCAGACACGTGATCGTGCACCGAGTTATCGAACCGGTTTCATAGTCTCCGTTAATTAAGTCGGAGGTTCTTAGGTTCGAATCGTTATATCGTTCTTTGAGAGACGAAGGACAGAGACGTTGTTAGATATAAAGAAGAGAAAATTTCAAAATTATCGGTATCTTGTTATGCTTGTTGTAGATGAGGCTGTCAATCCCTTGTCCACGTTCTATTTCGTTGAATCGTTTCCACGTGTCGTGCATGTATATTCGGCATACCGCGTTCACGTTCGTCCTCTCGGGTTGGAAGTAAATTCCAGTTCGAGAAGAGGGGCAGGAAAGAGTAATAGGATGCACGAGATTTCGAGGAGGCGCCCCCTCGCCGCTGGCTCGATTCGCCCTCGGACATCGCGTTGGACAACAGCACGTTGGATATTCCTTTAAAAGTCACTGTCACAACGACGAAAGGATTGTCGCCATTCCACATTTGCATCACCACTTTCGATAAAAGAAGTTGGACGGCTTTCGACACACCCGTGATCACACGATCTCTTCCAAGTGACACGTCTGAACCCCATCGCCGTGGCCAACCCTCGACCCTCCCATAAGGATATCTCCACCCCTCGATATTATCCTCACCGCACCCTTTCTATCTCACTTAACCCCCTACCAACCCACCCCTATCCCAGTTTTAACCACTCTACGTGTATCGCATTTTTCATCCCCCTCTTCGTTCCATTGTAATTGCGAATTCTCGTCCCGAGAACGAAACGTCTCCCGACCGACGCATCCCTAGGATTCCTCTCTCTCCTCCTTTATCCTTGAGGGGAGCGCTCGCGTGTTATCTCGAGATCGATAGCGATCTCCTGGCGCAGCGACACCGGTACATGTGAGCCAAGGGGGGGTACACTTATCAAACTTGGCGGCGGACACTTGCCTGCTACATCCTTTGCCTCCTTTCCCCGCCGGATAAGGGAAACGGCGTCAAAGGCGAGCCTTCCCCCCAAACTCGGTGGATCCGTATCACGCGACGCGACCACCTTCGGCCATCCTTCCTCGTCCCTGCCCCCCTCCAACGGGATCCCTCCGTCTAATGAAATAGTTGGCGTGGTTGACTGGTTATTAAAGCGGCCCCCGCCGCTCAAAGGAGCCGCCGGTGATCAACATCCTCCATGCCGACATTCGCGGCTCTTTCCACCGATGCGTGCCTGGAAAACGATCGAAACCACTTTTTATATTTTTTCAATTGGAACACACGGTTATCGAGGACGATTGGTATCGTGATATGTGGTTTTGAATGTGGAGGTTACATTTAGATAATATTATTTTCGATCGAGCGAATTTTTTATAAGATCGAAAAATTTGTGTATCTGTCAATATTCGAGGGCTTCTTTGGTGGATTGCAGAGATCGGATAGAGAATGTTATCCAAGTTATCGAAGTTTGTTAGATTAAATGCAACTTTTAAATTCGCATTGGAACGAAGTCTATTTCTATCTTCGTTTCTATTAACATAAATTTCAGACAATTCTTAATACCATCGATTCGAATTGAAGAATTGTCGTTCCACGCAATACTTGGTCACATGGTTATATAATTTTATAATATTAAATGTTGAAAAATCTAGAGAATGAACGTGGAAAATATCCGCAATGTAAATATTACATTCTTCCCTTATTTTTTGTAATCTATTTTTTACGGTAAATTACCCCTCGTTCCGTGTGTATTCGCGTTGTAACCCGTGAAATAAAAATAAATAAAATATTATTTCTCTCTCTCTCTCTTTCTCTCTATTCATTTATTTTTCTCTTCCCTCCCCGCAATCGGTGTACACGCGCGTCTCCGCGAAGTTTAATTTCACGACCGCAAAACATTTGCAAGTTTATCGAGCGAGGTCACGATCGCACAAGTATTGGAAGTATTTAGCAAAGTTGCATTTTAATTGGATGCAAATAAAATTCGCGCCGCTAACGAGCGAGACTTCGCATCTGAAAATGTTTTGCGGGGCGACTCATTCTTCCTTCCTGCTTCTCTTCTCCTCTTTTTCTCCTCCCGAATCGTAGCTTTTTGTTCGTGGCTTCGCTACGATTTCGGAAAAAGAGGAGATCGACGATGACGTATAATTTGATTCCAAGATGAACGTGAAACGTGTGATGATGAGACAATCGTCTTTGAATATTTATATGCGAATTTTTTTAAAATATTATATCGTTCCATCATTTGGTGGAAAAAAATAATATACGAATAATTTTTTAATTTTTCCAAGGATTTCAAAAATTATTCTTGTATATATATATTTTTTTTTTTTGAAAAGTTTTTGAGAAGCAAACGATTTCGAAATATCGTTATATCGTAATAATTTTATCAAGTAATCGTACAATTCCTATTCTATATTTTAATTTCCCCATTTGTCGATGTTTCGTTCGAACCCATTTTTTTAAAAATGAAAATTTTTCCGACAAAAGAATAATTAACGGCACGACGACACATTTATATTATATATTCGAGGAGAGAATTAAAACTATCGGTGCATTAAATTCATACAATTATTTTTATAGAGTTTATTATGTCGTAATCTCATTTTATTAATTAGTCGTATAGCTCGCGTTAAATATTTCATAGCTTACACTTCCTTGCATTTCTGCATTGTTACGGAAATCCAATTAAACGAACGATTTATCTTTGTCCTGCAGGATAACAGCTACCTTGGCTGTATTAATTAATTTATTTGCGAAATATTATTACCTTACTTCACAACGACTGTCTTTAAGTTATAATGTTTCATCAGTCTCGTTATCGTTACTCTTAATTAATATAAACAACCTAGACAGTCGTTTCTATCGTCGTTCGCTTTCGCGACTTTGGAAAAGTCTTTACGGAACGTTTAATGAAATGTTTTTTGAAAAACAAAAATTTATATAAATACAACGCGATCTACGATAAAAACAACAGTGAATCCGTGTTGTTGCTGATAATGTAACCAACTATTTTACTACCCTTGTCAAAAATTTATCCGTCATATACGAAATTCGTTAAAAAATACCATAATTTTTAAAACGTTATGGCGTAAACACAAAAAACGTGGAAATATTAAATCAGTTCAGATATGAATCAAATAATGAAGAATAATTTAAATTTTTGTACATCACGAAGAAAAATATAACTGTATATAGTTACATTTATTTATTCTATAAAATATATAAATATATACACGTTTATATAATAAACGGATCTTATATCCGTGAATTGAAACACGCTATCCCAAAATCTTTCTCTTAAACCGCAATCCTTCATCATCCTCTCCTACGAGCAATTGAAAACCCTCCGACTAGAGGGTGATTTGTACCTACGATGTAAAACGATGCCGGGCTTTATCGTATTAAATGGTACAACTACAATCGAGACGTGCACTCCGAGTAACCGAGTTACTGAATTTTAATTGCAAAGCTTCCACCTTGTTTTCGTAGCCCCTTATCGTGTTTTCGCTATTTATCACCTGCCGCACGGAAACCCCCGGTTTCATCCCCGTCTTCCTTAGTCACGCGGACCCTTTGTACACCGATTTAACCGACGAAACACAATTAACATGTTAATTACCTGTTTCCGATACCCATGCTGTTTGCTTTCCTGTTTTTAATTCTCGCTAACTGCCCAGTTACTGAATTTCACTCTCCGGAAAAGTAACTAACGAAACGCATTTCCAAATGTTTTGTGCAAATGTAACGATCCTTTGTAATTACCATTTTCTTTTTTTTTTTAATTCGTGACAAAGGGAGTTTGGCAATTATTTTTATTAATATCTTTTTTCATTTGTCAGCGGTGCGAATTTTTTAATGATTCTTGTTTTGAGAGTTTGGAAAACTGTTTCTTCATACTTTTTGTAAACATATTGTTTATGCTGTCTCGATATTTGCATAAGGTATAAATTTTTTTTTGGTATTCTCTCGTATTTCAATAATTTGTGAGTTTCTTTAAATATCACGTGAAGGCGATCAATAAATGATTTCGAATCGAATTTTGAGATTTTTTTTTCAATTGATCGAATATCTTCGTAGAGTAATGATTCTTATTCCTTATCTTAATGATTCGAAAAGAAAATATGGACATGATAGAAGGAAGAGGAAGAGTCATTAAGAAATCTGAACAATAGGGAAATTCAATAATGATAATCTAAGAAATTTACCAAAGATTCATTCACAGTCCGTAAAAAAGAAAAAAGTTCGCGAAACCGAATAGAATCGAAAACACTGTTCACGATAACAGCTTACAAGATAATTAAACGTCAATTCACTTTGTCAATTCAATCAAAAAGCAAAAGAGATCCTTGCTCGATTTTAATCACAACGTGGATTCTTCATTCTGATATGAGACAAAGTATATCCTAAATTTATATGGAAATGTAAAAATTGGCAAAGCGATCGATTCTTTTTATTTACACACGTCGATATCATTCAACTCGAATCCACAAAATGTTTCCCATCCGCCATGGAATATATTTCAATCCGCGAAGTGGTAAAAGCATCGATTCTCTTTTCACGTAACGTCCAGCGTCTCGACGATGAAAGGCCGGTCTTTGTCGTGGCGTCGATCGTGATAGGAAGCTGCTCATTGAAGAGCAGAAAGCCAAAAGCGAGCAAACGCGACAATAAGGCGCCTTTTCACGCGGTCCACTTTACCGGACGCCACTTGCCGGTTCACGGTCTTCCGCCTTCTTTTATACAGACACCATTTCCCCGCCATCGTTCAATGCGGCCCGTTCGCCCGTAAAACTTGCACGCCCAACAAATAGCGTTGATTTTATTGCTACACATCCGGTGGAAACGCGTGCAAACGCGTCATCCTCGAGTTTGAAGATATTTGACCGATTCTGAAGACATGGTTGCAATAATTCAATCGCTTAAACGTAAATAATTGAATGGAATGATGACTCTTCGACTTTCTTAAAGTAATTTTGTTTTTTTTTCTGATATAAATATGAATTTTAATTAAATGAATTTTAAGTAATGTCGATCTTGATTCTTTCAAAAGTCACGTTTTTTACTATGCGAAGATTTTGAATTGTGGAAATTAAATTCGAATTAAAGAAAATCAAATCATAAATATTCTTAACGTTCATATTTATATTGTGAATTTAATTTTGAAAAGAAAATTTTCAATCAAGATGCAACATTTTTTTTTGATATAAAAATGAATTTTTAAATAATTTTAATTAATTTTAATTAATGTTGATCTTGATTCTTTCAAAAGTCACGTTTTTTACTATGTGAAGATAATTTTGAAGAAATTAAATTCGAAATAGATTAAAGAAAATCATCGCAAGTATTCTTAACGTTCATATTTATATTGTAAATTTAATTTTGAAAAGAAAATTTGTTCAATCGAGATGCAATACTTTTTTTTTTGATATAAATATGAATTTTAAATAATTTTAATTAATTTTAATTAATGTTGATCTTGATTTTTTTAAAAATCACATTTTTTACTATGTGAAGATAATTTTGAATTGTGAAAATTCGAAATAAGTTAAAGAAAATCAAGTTGCAAGTATT